TTGGTGGTAGAACTTAGACGATCTTTTTCCAAACAAAATCTTTTTTTTTTTTTTTAAAGATTTTATTTATTTATTTGAGAGAGAGAGAGAATGAGAGACAGCATGAGAGGGAGAAGCAGACCCCCTGCTGAGCAGGGAGCCCGATGTGGGACTCAATCCCGGGACTCCAGGATCATGACCTGAGCCGAAGGCAGTCGCTTAACCAACTGAGCCACCCAGGCGCCCCCAAACAAAATCTTGTTGTGCTCCATTATATAAAAAAGATAAAAATCCACCTGCTCTTGTGGGAAAGGTTTGGAGCCCTTAGCCTCTCCCTCAGTACCACCTTTACCTGTCCATACCTCTCTACTTACCCACCACTTTCCCAATCCTTGCCCCTGGCTGATAGATACGGTTCTTTTTTTTTTTTTTTTTTTAAGATTTTATTTATTTATTTGACAGAGAGAGAGACAGCGAGAGAGGAAACACAAGCAGGGGGAGTGGGAGAGGGAGAAGCAGATTTCCCGCCGAGCAGGGAGCCCGATGTGGGACTCGATCCCAGGACTCTGGGATCATGACCCGAGCGGAAGGCAGATGCCCAACAACTGAGCCACCCAGGCGCCCCTAGATACGGTTCTTTATACTATGTCTTCTGGCCCAGTAATGAACTGTTAGCATCTGTTATCAAGGTGCTTTCAACTACAGGTAACAGAAAACACAATCCAGTTCATGTAACTGTAAGGACAGTTCAGTGTCTCACATCACAACAGATCCAAAGACAGAGTGCTTCCTGGGTTGTTTAATCCAATGGCTAAGTGATACAACAGGATGAGGGTTCTTAGCATTTTTTGGTTCTGTCTTCCTCCTGGTCACTAGATGGCTATAGCAGCAGTAAACATCATATCCTTCCACAACTCCTGGAAGGGGTTCAGAGAGTGCATCTCTTCCTTATATTCTTTTTGGAGAGAGAAAAAAAAAAAGCTCCTAGCTGATTTCCCCTCATTTCTTATTGGTCAGGATGGTGTCACATGACCATTCCTAGACCAATCACCAAGAATTGGAATAGAATAACCATAATTGGTTTAGACCAATCAGGATTCACCCACTAGGGTTGGAGAAGGACTTAATCTTCCCTGAAACTGGTGGCAATCCAATATCTGAACAATACCCAGGTTCTGTTATCAAGGATAGCTGCTGGATAGCAGCCAATAGTTGTCTGCCATAACATCCCATTAGGAAATATACTGAAAACCCAAAGTCAAAATTCCAAGGCTGCCTCTTGCTTTTGGCATGGCCGTGGCCAAGTCATTCAACCTCTCTGGGCCTTAGTTTCGTCATTTGTAAACTGGGGATAGTGATATCTGCTTTACCTATCTTCCAGAGTTGTGGAGAAGGATGTATGAAAGAACTTTACAAAGTACTTTACTAATATCAAGGCTTCTTATTAATTTAATTCTTAGAAATAAATGAGCACCAGGCATCTGGGTGGCTTAGTTGGTTAAGTGTCTGACTCTTAATCTCAACTCAGGTCTTGATCTCAGGGTCATGAGTTCAAGCCCAATGTTGGGCTCCATGCTGGGTGTGGAGCCTACTTTAAAAAGAAGAAAGAAATGAGCACCACCAGGCCTTCTGTGTAAAGGTAGGAAATCAGTAAAACCTAAATTCTAAGGAGTGTCTTTTGGTTTAGTTACAACATTCACTGTCTAAATTTCATAAAATGACTTCTCAAAAAAATTGCACATACCTTTAGAAGTAACGCTATAAATTATAAATACCCTAAAAGGTGAAGGTATGTGTGGGTTGTACTTCGACACAGATCAAGGCTGTGGCCTTCCTATGATTGTATCTGGCATTCAGCTGACAATATAGTGACTAACAGTTAATGATTACCTCTTCTGCTTTTAATTTTCACTTTACATTTCCCTGGTGTTTCTTCTTCCCTGCAGACAGGATTTTTACCAAATGTATTTAAAGCGTTGTCTCACCGGCCATTGGAATTCAGAGCCTTCTTTGCTTACTACTATGCCATCTACAACAAGGAAACAGGTAAACAGAAAAACAGTGCTAAATCATTCTTGGATGAGATCCAGATGCCTGCTTGCTAGAGTTCCTTCCCACATAGTTCAAGACTGCGAAGTTAGGGAAAGGTTAAGAAAGAGTAGTTTGCTGAGACATCCTCTGGATTCTGAATTTAAGTATATAATTATAGATACAGAACTGAAATAAATTAGGTAATGACTATGGCTTATCTTTCTTTCTTGGGGCTTAAAAGCCCTCTGGCTCCATATAACTCCCTAAATAAAGTTCATGGACTTCAGCCTGGCAATCATGGGTTTCTTACTTAGGATTCAAGTTAGGTTGCTGTTATCCAGACCCAAAGATACATTGGTTTAAACAGGATATTTTTTTTTTCCTCTTTCTCACCTGATAGTCCCCGTGTGAGCTGCTAAAGGCCATTTTAGTGTTGTTTACTGTCTGGGATTGCCCTTGCCTACATGCTTATGCTGACTCACCACTGCTACCAGCAGAAAGAGAAAGAAGGGGCATTTGTGGGTACACGTTCCTTTCCTTTAGGGTCATGACATGAAAGTCACACACATTGCTCCTGTCTACATCCCACTGGCCAGAACTTCATCACATATCACACCTAGCTGCAAGGGAAGCTGTGTGGCCATGTGCCCTACTAAAATGTAGGGATTCTGTTATTGAAGAAGAGATGGTAGGTACTGGGAGGCAGTATGTCACAGTGACTCTCTTGTGGCCTGACACCAGCCTGCCTTCCCAGCCTCTTTTCCCTTAGCGCTTCTGTGTGTGTTCTAGCTGTTGGAATCAAAATGGACCAGATTTTACTCTGAAGCATTCAGGTCTCATGATTTACCCACTTTTTACCTTTGTTCACGCTCTGCTGTGCCCCTAAGATGCCTTTTCTCCTGTCCATGCTTTGTGAATCTGATCTTTCCTTCAAAGTCCGTATCTCACCTGCCTTTACTCACAACGGACTCTTTGTCCGATCTCCCACAGCACCCTTTATCCTTTTCCAGTGGCCTCCTTTGCCTTACCTTCCCGCAGCTTCCACAGCTGCTCCAACCCGGGGGCAAGAGACATACCCTGTGTTCACATCTGAGTTGTGCCATAGGTGACACTCGTGACCTTCAACAGAGGATTTCGATGTCTCCAAGCTTTGGTTTCCTTACTAGTAAGATGGTATTTTGTAAAAAAGATTTTATTTATTTATTTATTTATTTGAGAGAGAGAGAAGGAGCAGGGGAAGGAGGCAAGGGGAGAGGGAGAAGCAGGCTCCCCCACTGATCAAGGAGCCTGATGTGGGACTCGATCCCAGGACCCTGGGATCATGACCTGAGCTGAAGGCAGATGCTTCACCGACTGAGCCACCCAGGCGCCCCATAAAATGCTATTAATACCCACTCTGCAGTGCTGGTACAAGGATGAAATAAGATAATACATGTAAAGTTCCCAGAATGGTACCAGGTGCCAAAATGAAATCCTTCTTCTCCTTCCTCTCCCGACCCCATGTAGTAGGTCCCCTGAGGTTAGGAAGTCTCTTTTCCCTCCTCTTTTGAAAGTGTTAGTCCAGTATCTGATGGGCCTCAGAAAATGTTTTTGGAACTTTAGAAATACATTCAACACATATTTTCTGAGCAACCACTATATTTCAGGCAGTCCTCTGGGGATATGCTGGTGAACAAGTCAGAAAAATTTCTAGACTTTCAGACATATTCTAGAGAGGAGAAAAGAATGAACAACTAAAAATAAAAGAATAGGTTAACTCCAGAAGTGTTAAGTATTGTGAAGAAAATAAAATGGGCTGGTTAGTAGCAAGAGACTGGGAATGAATGCGTAAGTGAAGGGGTAGGTGAGAAGGTGGGCACCTCTGTTGCTAAAGTATGGCTGAACCTGTCTAGGTTCTTCTGAGCTGCTATCCAAGGCTTATGGACAGGTCTCCTCCCCTCTCCCTCCGTAGGCCAGCTCAGCAGAGCTGACAAGGAGCTCATTATTGTGGTGACTAGCCTGGCTAACAGGTGCCCATACAGCATGGTTGTCCACAGTGCCCGGTACAGGGTCAAAGAACCCAGTGCTTTCTGACCAGGTTGGTGCCTACCTCCCCTGTGCCGATTTCAGGGCTTCTTCATACCTAAGGAAAGGGAAAGTCCATGCCACTATATGGTGCAGGGAACACCTCCCCCTGCAGCTCTTCCCATTGCTTGAGTTCCCTTCCAGTCTCATCACTGTTCCCACATGCTTCTGTGTGTACATGATGTTTGAGACTAGGGGTTAGCTGAACCACAGCTTTGTGCCACACCTGATCCTGGATACATGGCATACATTCTCTCAAATGCACACAGCTCCCTCTAAGTTGAGCCTTACTAATAACCATTTTATCCTTGAGGTTCAGAGCTGTAACTTAACATGGGGCATGCAACTAGAATATGAGAGTCCATTTTCAAAGCTTGCACTCTTTTCTGCTACATTATATTGTTTGCATTTGCCATTGTGAATTTAGCTAATTATTCCTAATGGGCCCAAATGAGTTTCTTAGGTTTTCTTTTATTTATTCCTGCTAGCCCCAAGCCTACATCTGTCTGCTTCTCATTTGTAGAACTGCCTCCATCTTCTCTTTCCCACCGAGATTGGTTGTGAAAATGGGTCTCAATCCCCCCAGCCAACAGCCTATTATCTCCATCCAAAATCAGGCCCTTTGGGTGTCAGAGGTCATGCTAATTCTTCCCAGAGAAGTGAATTAAGGGTAAAAACACAGCAGACATGGGTTTGTCACCAAACATACAAAGTCCTACTGATCCCTACAGTGAAATTCCGGATCCTCTGGGCTGGGGAACAGAAACCTCTGTTCTCTGGATTTATTCCTGAGGTTGAGGGTCATTGGTCTTCCTATCCCCCAACTTACTCTCCTGACCCCACCTGAGTGGAGACCTTGCAAACTGTTCCTGAAGGGCCCCTGTTGCCACCCTGAAGATAACTTCAGGACAGGTACATCCTCTCACCTTTGCTGTGCTGAGAGCCTCCTGTCTGGTTGCCAGACCTTTATTCATCCAAGATCATTCTCTAGGCATTGCTTCCCTGGTGGCCATAGTGTATGCTGTCACACCATGGTTTGCTGAACTGTTCTTCTATTTTTTAGGTGGTTAGTGGTTTTCAGTATTTTACTTGAGCAAGGGTAATGATTATAAGTATAATCTTTGGAATCAAATACACTTTGAATCACATCCCAGCTCTGCCACTTTCCAACTGTATGACCTTGGGGAAGTCGCTTGACCTCCCTGAGCTTTGGTTTCTTTGCCAATAAAATGGGGGCAATAATAAAAATACTACTTCCTAGGATTTTTATAAGAAATAAGATAATGAATATGAAGCATTGAGCACATCCTTAGCACATAGTAATTGGTAAGTGTCAGCTATTAATTTTGCAGATATTGTTTCTTGTTTGGGATTAATTGGGACAAAGGGATAATTATCTGAGCTTCTCTTTACTCATAAGAAAAAGTTTGGATTTGGGGTCCTTATGTACTTAGAGTTTCTGAGTCTTGCTTCTGAGATTTTTGGAGCCGTAAGTATTTAGAGGAGCAAGACGTGCTTATAGTTGGAGTGAGCAAAGAAGACTTCTTGGCAGAGGTGGGGCTGAGCCAGAGTTTCAAGTTTGTATTCCATTGGAAAGTATTTTGTCCTGACTTTGCCCCTTTATTCTAAAGGGTTTTTCATTTTGTTAGACCTTTTGTTTTATCAGCTATATTGTGATGAACAGAGATTCTGCTTTTGACTGTGTTTTCTTGCAGGTCTGTGTGAACTGGAGAAAGTCTGACCTCCCTGCTCGGGAAAAGGCAATGCTGGAGTTTGCACTTGCTATTTCCCGAGTGATGACATAACAGATGACCATTTCAAAAAGTTAGAGATGCATGGCTTCAACCGAGAAGATGCTTGGGATGTCGCTGCCATTTCAGCTTTTTTTGCCATGTCCAACCACCTTGCTCATTTTGTCGATCTTGTTCCCAACAAACAATTGTATTTGATGGGCAGTACCAATGGTGTCAAAGACATCAGGAGTGAATCAGCTGCTGCTCCCAAAGTGTAAAAGCCTAAACAGAACAATTAGTGTTTATATTTCAGGCACACTACATTACTTGGGAAGTAATTTTTTAAAAACATCTAGTCAGTGGATAGGAAAGAAAGTAAATGAAATTGCTCCCTGCCTGCTCAAAGAGCTAGATCCTAAAGATCCTAAAGATCCTATCCAGGGACATGTGATTCCTGGGCGTAGGGGAAATGTTTGCCAATTGTTTCCTTGTGTTGTGATCTAAAAAGAACATCAGGGCAAAGAAGTTCAGAGGATGCTTTTCTGATGAACTGTTATCTGTGAAGTTGAGCTGTTGAAGTCGAAAATTTTTTAGCACTCAAAAATAGTGTTACATAGAAATTGGTCTATATAGACTGTGATTTGCAGTCAATTCCTTGTTAACATGACATGGTTGTATTTAAAGGCTCTCAAGGGCAGTGGGTAAATAGGAGCAGTCACAGTTAATCTATCTTTAGTGCCTTCTCAGTTAACTTCCAGTAAATTTTTATTTACTTTGTCTATTTTGCTGATGGGTTGTACATTCGTGATCATCTCAGTAGAATTTTAGTCCTTACGTAATTTATTATTTTAGCTTTTAGCAAAAAATATTTGATAAGTGAGGACTCACATTTTAAATAGAAGCATAAGAAAGAAAGAAAAAAATTTGAATTGCCTGAACTGTGAAATCTGATTTTCTTGAGGCAGCACAAACTTTCATTGCAGAGCTTGTGTTCTTCTGTTGGAATTATATCTTAAATGCCTTGGAATATGTAACCTTTTAAAACTGTTTTATTTTACCTATTAAAAATCTAATAATATTGGTGAATGGTCAGTTTTATAGACCATAAAATTTTAGCCATTGGCCATAACTTGGTTGGTTAAGCGACTGCTTAATGGCTCAGGTCATGGTCCTGGAGTCCCAGGATGGAGTCCTGCATCGGGCTCCCTGCTCTGTGGGGAGTCTGCTTTTCCCTCTGGCCCTCCCCCTTCTCGTGCTCTCTCTCTTTCTCATTCTCTCCCTCTCAAATAAATAAAATCTTAAAAAAAAAAAAATTTAGGGGTCAAGCAGAGGGCCTCTACTAAGTATTTGTTGCAGCCAGAAGTTGGGGGTCTTTAAGGAACATTATTTAATTACAAAATAGACCTCTACCCCTTCTACTTTGTGGGGGCAACATGGAGAGTATCCTGATGCCTGATCTCTGAACTCAGGATGGATGCTTCTTGCCCTTTTTTCAATCAGCTCATGGACAAGAGTGCTGAAGAACTACTAACTTTCCTGGTGGGAGGACCTGCTGAATGTTCAGCCCTCTGAATCTCGTTCCCTTACTGTAGAGATCCTTCAGATCTGTCCTCACAGGATAGCTCTTCCGGCAAAGATCCAGATTTATCCTCAATCATCAAATGTGAGCTTTCTACAACATGGCTCTTGATCAAGGCCTAGATGAGTTGTCAGTTCTTATATCTACCTTTCCTTGTACCTCAAGCTTTTTATTGAAGACTCCTTCCCTTCCCAAGAACCACCCCAGTTCCTGTTAACTTTTTTTTACAAATGAGTTCTATATATTGATCTTTAACAGCAGTAGTGAACGGCCTTGCATCTGTCATGTCCTCTGTGCCCTGCCTGGCACATATAAGCAGGATTTGACCTTGGGCTCTGTTGCTTGTACAGTTGATTTGATTTAGATCTCCAGCTCCACTCGGTGACTCCTGCTGGATATATGCTCCTTCCTGAGGGAGAAGACGACTTAGGCCTTGATAAAATCTTATTTTTATTTATTTTTAAAGATTTTATTTGTCAGAGAGAGAGCGCACAAGCAGGGGGAGCAGCAGGCAGAGGGAGAAGCAGGCTTCCTGACGAGCAGGGAGCCTGACGAGGGACTCGATCCCAGGACCCTGGGATCATGACCTGAGCCCAAGGCAGACCGGCTGAGCCACCCAGGCGTCCCTGGCCTTGATAAAATCTTGATCTACTGGGCAGTAGCTGGGAGTTGGGCAGATATTCAGGGCGCACCAATAGACCCCATTTTCCAGTTCCTGTATAGACCTGGGCTTTATTTTTTCTTTACTTTTTAAGATTTTTTATTTATTTGAGAGAGCAGTCGGGAGGGGCAGAGAGAATCTAAAACGGAGTCCCCTGCTGGGCCCAGGGCCCAGGGAAGGGCATGGTCTTACCACCCTGAGATCCTGACCTCAGCTGAAATCAGGAGTCCCACACCTAACTGATTAAAGCACCGAGGTGCCCCAGGCCTTGGCTTTTAGCACAATAGTGAACCTGAGTCCTTAGACTCCCCGTCTGAGTAGGCAGTACACCGTGCCACTTTACTATGTGGGACCGGCACAGGATATGGTAATTTCTTCCCCTTGGGACCTTAGCCTAAATTGGGGATAACAGTACATATCATAGTCCACCCCTTTATTCAGGCCCACTCATCCCCAGGCACACAGTCACGATGACTGACAATTACCGACTGTCGCAGGGGTGCCCTGATGCTACCACTGCCCCATGCAGCCCGGGCCCTGGGCATTCTCAGTTGCGCTCAAACACAGTCGTTGCCGATCACCGTCCCTCCGGGAAAAAGCGTCCGCCATGGCCGGTGTCCCAGCTTTCGCGGTCCCCAACGGATGGTAGCCGAGGGCGGCGCGTGTTTCCCAGCCGGCAGGGTTAGGCGGCGGCACGCCGGAAGTGGCGGCTGGAGCGGGAGCGCTGAGGTGTCGGCCGGCGGGCTGCGGCCGGGAGCGGGGGGGGCGGGTGCGTTGGTCATGTTTACCTTCGGGCCCGGTAGTCCCGAAGGGGATGGGACGGCCGGAACCGGGGCTGAGGAGCCGGCGCCCCGCGCGGGGCAGGCGGCAGCCGCCGGGCCGCTCCCTTCCCCGTCCGCGCCGCCGCAGCCCGGGGCTGACGCAGCCCCTCCCCCGTCGCCCTCTCGGAGCCCTCGTCGCCCCGGCGCCCCCTCGCTGCCCCTGGCCGCGCGCGCCGGGGAGCTCAGGCCGCCCGGAGCTCTAGACTCCTCAGCCGCTTCCGCCCAGGGAGAGCCGTCACCGCCCTCCCCGCCGCGCCGGCGACCCGGGCCAGACTGCAGGGCCGGGAGCCGGGGCCGCCACGGCCTCGGCGCCGGCCTGGGCGGCCCCGGCGCCCGGCTGTTCGGGTGGCTGAGAGAGCGCAGCCTGGGCCGCGGGCTGTTCGTGGACCCGGCGCGGGACAATTTCCGCACCATGACTAACCTCTATGGTTCCATCCATCCCGCGGACTCGGTGTACCTCAGCACCCGCACCCACGGCGCGGTCTTCAACCTCGAGTACTCGCCCGACGGGTAAGCGCGGCCCCTCGGAGGGCGGGTGCCCGCCTCCGCCTGCCTCTGCTGCCCGTGGGCGGCGGCCCGGATTGGGGGCCGTCGGCCTGCAGGCACCCCGGCACTTTCTGAAGCGCTCTGTGGCTGTTGGAGGTCCCGGCCCAGCCCTTGGAGGTAGGCAGGCCCGGGACTCATTCGTGCACCTCGGGACGCGGAGCTCTGTGAAGCAGAAATGCCTAGGGCCCATCACCCGACCGGTCGGCCAGAGCCAGGCCGGAGCTAGGGTTCTCTGGTACACAGTACATGCCCGGCAAATACATTTTGAGTAAATACTCATTCTTTCCCTGTCATCCCAGGCTTGTGTTTTTCTCACCGAAGCGTCTGGCAAGGGTAGGAGTCTGCAGGTTCCGTGTACTCTGTGCCTGACTTGCCTTGAGGGTTGACAAGTGTGCTTTCCTTGGCTCCTGAAGGATACTAAGACGCGGCAGAGAGGTGTCTTATGATGGGGGCATTTGTGAACTCCCCCGGCTAGACTACATGCTTCTGTTACGGGTGTCCAGCCTTTTTCCTGGCGGATTAAATATTTCATGTTTGGTCTCGGTTTACTTTGCGTTATGGGGAATTTTCAAAATAATATGTATTTTTAGAACTTTGGTGAGTACACGAACAAGTTAAACAACAAAGGAAAAAATTTACACACAGTTCGACTCTGAGAAGACATAGTTAATATAACTCTTACCTGATCAAGGTCTTCGATTCTAGTCATTTGCTTAGTTCATTTATTCATTCCCTCATTCAGCAAATATTTGTTGAGCACTTGCTATGTTACAGATGCGGAGATTGCAGTGGTGAGCAAAACCAGCTAAATGGCACCACTGTTATTAAGCTTGGGACTTAATGGTTCAACTAGATTTTAATAACCATACTAAATATTTCTCATAATGTATATTTATAAATTGAGATAAAGGCTTGAAGGAACCGGTTGTACAACTAGGGTGTTTGAGATTTCCCTGAAGAAATGACATTTAACCAAGAACAGAAAAAATGAATAGAAGATGAATTAACCAAGATAGTGTGGGGGAGGGGATAGAAGTATTTCAGATGGAGGAAATGGTATGTCTAAGGACTTATGGTTGAAGGGCTACTATGTCATGTTAGAGAAGCTGAAAAATGATGGCTTAACAAAGCAAAATATTTTGCTAAAGAAAAACCTAAATTATGCTGAGAAAGGAGAAAAGTAGCAGAATCTGGAATCACGATGAGGAGGTACATCATACTCCATTTCACTGATGCATATGCATCTTCCTAATTACACTTGGTGCTAGGATCTCTGGGGTTTCTACTTACAGCAGTTTCGTGGAACCTGTAGCAGTGAATGTGCACCTGATTACAGGTAAGAGAGGAGAAGCTACTGAAGTTTATTCATTTAACCTCCCCACCCCAGTCCTCTCTCCAACAAAGCCCTGTTCCTAAAGCGTCTCCCAAAATACCAAGAATCTGTTCCTCGTAAACATTCGGTTCCTTTTTTCTCCATACCCCAACTCCTCTCCTCCCACCCTCCTGCCTATTCTGTCAGGCTTTCAGAAGTAGCTGTTTCTACTTTTTGGAAGTGAGATTTTAGGTGCATGTTGAGAGGGGTAGAATGAGTTATAAAGATGGAATTCCCATTGCCACTGCTATTAGAATGAGGAATAAATTACTGATAGTTCTGTTTGAATCCGGACAATATTGTCCCCTATAAACATTTTTGTAAAAAGTAGTTAGGTACTCTGGTACTTAAAATAGTTCAATACTGGGGTGCCTGGGTGGCTCAGTCGTTAAGCGTCTGCCTTCGGCTCAGGTCATGATCTCAGGGTCCTGGGATCGAGCCCCGCATCGAACTCCCTGCTCGGCAGGAGGCCTGCTTCTCCCTCTCCACTCCCCCTGCTTGTGTTCCCTCTCTCGCTGTATCTCTCTCTGTCAAATAAATACAAATCTTTAAAAAAAAAAAATAGTTCAATACTGTAAATAATAATAATTCAATGATGTTTAATTTGCAATTGATACATACTCATTCTAGAAAACCTAGGCAATAAATGAGCAAAAAGAAGCTAAACATCACTTATAATCCCAGAGATTGAATGGCTATCCAAGGAATTTTTTGTGTGTGTATGTTTATTTTATTTATTTATATTTTAAAGGTTTTTATTTATTTAATCTCTACACCCAATGTGGGGCTCGAACTCATGACCCCACGATCGAGTCACATGCTCTTCCAACTGAGCCAGCCAGGCGCCCCTACATATGTTTATTTTATTTTATTTTATTTTTTTAAGGTTTTTATTTATTTATTTGACAAAGAGACACAGCGAGAGAGAGAACACAAGCGGAGGGAGTGGGAGGGGGAAACAGGCTTCCCTCTGAGCAGGGAGCCCGATGTGGGGCTTGAACCCAGGACCCTGGGATCATGACCTGAGCTGAAGGCAGACGCCTAACGACTGAGCCACCCAGGTGCCCTGCATATGTTTATTTTAATATAAACATGAAATCATATTTTGTTGCCTGCTTTTTTTCATACAATATATTGTGAATTACCTATGTTAATGTATTTTTACATTATTTAACATTTTTCATTAGTTTAAATAAAACCTCTATAGACAAAATTTTTAGATTTATGTCCTCATGATAATTCTCTAGAATGAGTGAAAGGTTATGAAGATTTTGGATACCTATTATTAAACTGCCCTCTGTGAAGATTTTACTAATTCCTATCACACACATATGAAAGTGCCTGTCTCCCCATACTTTTTTTTTTTTTAAGATTATTTATTTATTTTGAGAGAGCGAGAATGAGAGAGAGAGAGAGAGAGAGTACATGAGTGGGGGAGGGTCAGAGGGAGAAGCAGGTTCCTCACTGAGCAGGGAGCCCGATGTGGGACTCGATCCCGGGACTCCGGGATCATGACCCGAGCCGAAGGCAGTCGCTTAACCAACTGAGCCACCCAGGCGCCCTGTCTCGCCATACTTTTGCCAACATTGCACATTGCCATTCTTTTTTATCTACGTCAAGGTGATAGGTGAAAATAGTTGTGTTATAATTTTTTATTATTCTTACTACATCTACTAATAGGCTCCAGATTTTTGTAGGACTTAATTTTATAGAAAAAAGACATCTGTGTTAAATGAGATAATTTCATATATCCTTCAGTTATATGGGTTAAATCAGCTTACTGGGTACCATTATCACTGTCATTTATAAGGACTTCTCAGTACAGAGAAGGAGAGGTGACACGGAAGGTAAGAATTAAAATTATGAATTTAATAGAGACCAGACTAGAAAAAATTTAGCACTAAAAATGAAAGGATACATGGAATAGAGGTAATTTCTAAAGAATTCCAAAAATATTATACAGTAACAGTTTTATCAGAACAAGTGTATCACCTCCTAAGATAACATTTTGAAAAATAAAATTTGATGTTAATAGATTAGATAATAATATGTGGGACTTTGTCAAGCTATCCTGTATGAAAACACATTAGGCACTGCTGTAGAGAGAAGTAGTGTATTGGAAAATAAGAAATGAAGAAATTATCTAGAATGGACACAAGAAAGATGCAGAGATTGAAAATATGAAGGAGGTTTAGTGACCTGGAGCATAGAGAGAAAAGGCATACTATGTATTTGGTCAGCTCCTGAAGAAAATGAGATAAATAATGGGGGGCAAATTTTTTTTTTTTTTTAAGAAATAATAGCTGAGAACTTGAAGAACTGAAGAAAATCAGCGCCATGATTTAAGATGCCCAGCAGACCCCAAGCAGGAATCCTTTCTAGACATACAGTGACTCCAGAACAACAAATATTAAAATCTTAAAAACTAGAGAAAAAGACCTTCAAAGGGGTAATTATGAGAGTGATAGCCAATTAGTCATCAATAATAGTGCAAATCAGAAGAAAGTGATTGTTTTCAGTATGCTGGGAAGAAAACTGCCAGTCTAGATGTCTATACCCATCAAAGATGGGTTCTTCATTTTTGTCAGGATTGAAGATTAAATAAATACACAAGCAAAGCCCAGTGAGTTTGCCACCAGACCTTCAATAATGGGATTCTACATTCAGAGAGAGGAGTTTTCAACTGGAAGGTCTGAGATGGTAGAAAGAATGAAGAACAAAGAAAGTGGGAAATATGTATGTGAAACTAAATCTAATTTCAGTTTTGTCTTTTGCAATTAACAAAGATGGAACTAAAATTGAAGAAAATAATTATGAAGGGATATTCTAAATTTGTTTTCTTTAGGGAGTATTTGACATATTAACTGTCGGTTTTAATGTTTGCGTATTAAAATTTGCAAGATTAAAAGATAAAGAATATATTATCTCCAGCCTACTAGAGGAAAAAATAATGGAACGAGAAAAAAATATTCCAAGAGAATACAAGAAAAGGAAAGAAAAAAAGTAGAAAAGGTATAATAAAAAAAAGCACAAAGAATGGCTGAAAATAAGTCCAAATATTATTAATTATAATAACTATAATAGTACTAAATGTTCAATAGGATAAACAAAAATATATCAAACATTCTAAACAAAAGCTGGTGAGCTATATTAAAATACAAACTAGGCTTTACGGCAAAAAAATTTACTAGAGATGGGTCACTTCATGCTGATAAAAGTTCACTTCACGTGGAAGATAAGATAGTTTTGAACTTGAATGAGTTTTAGATTTAAATATATGTATCAAAAACTGATAACGTCAAGGAGAAAATGGACAAATTTATCATAGAGGAAGATTTTAACGTTCATCATAGTATACCTCAGGCAGACATTGATAAATATAACATCAGTTAAAATCTTGCCCTGAAGGGCAGTATACTGCATTCAGGCCTGATACTCAGCTAGTACACATTCGTTCAGCTGTAGCAGTTGTTAATATATTGATACATGTCCATAGTGGTTGAATAGTTACTGCCCCAAGCACATTGAGTGTCTTCCATGGAACCTCCCAGAGTAACCTATTATATGACAACTATAGAGTTAAGAGCTGGCACTGCAAGCTGCCAACAAACATCT